AAAATTAAACCTTTTGAAAAAAGCAACAGCCGAGTTTCTTGCCTGTTATTCTTGGCTGAAAGTGCATTCCGAATGAGCAGTAATGAAAAAAATAACTATTTAAAAAATGCTTAAATCTAAGTTTAATAAAAATATAAGCAAAGTCGAAGCCAACAAAAAACTTTGTATAAATAACTACAACCACTAACACTAAGCTATCACAAACATGAAACCTTACTGACATACAGCCACCAAGCTAATAATAACATTTATTCTACGCTGAACTAATCGCTTTGTCTACTAAGTAAAGTGCAAGCCACACTATGAGCTAAGCTAAGTGAATGTAACTTAGCAAACGTAGCTTTGGCCTTTTTTCATTCGTCAATTGGCGTTTTTTTCATAACACAGGGGGCAAACGAAATATGCAGCTCACCTGATGTAAGAGACTACTACCATTGCCTATGGGCACCCGCAATACTGGAAGAATTGCAGATGTGCTATCGTCCTTTTAAAAAGGAATAATCTTTATGCGAATGGACTGAACTATATGAGTTAAGTAACTCAATAATACCAGTTAAACAAAAAGGAAAGCTGGTAGTAATGGCAATCAGTAATTCCAATGCCAGCGAGGTACTCGATTAGACTTCACTGCTAGCAATATACCTGATTATTATACGGAGTTCTCGCGTAGAAGTTGTTAGACAAATACTCTTTATTGTTTCCTCCAAAAATTGCAGTAGTAAACTTATTATAAATATAAATAATAACAAGAAAAGATTACACTGAGAAAACAATGAAAGGCCTTATCACTAAAAGCGATCTCTTCCAGACAACCTTTGGATGGAAAGAAGGAATTATAAACAGTTATATCGAAGATACGATAAAATTCAGTTTGCTTTTAAACACATATAAAGTTATGATCACGTCAATCGTTGATCAGGTCTGGAAACCTATACTTTTCCTGGTGAATTCATCACAATAAGTTAATTTATATTATATTCTTTATTGCACTTGTAAATTACATTGTTAATGCATTTATAAATATTGTGAGCAAGGGTGGACAGAGATCTCTTCCAGTCAACCCAATGCAGTTAGAAAGCATGTTGTTAGCGGGTAGCTGAAGTACTACAATTATTAATATTTACTTGATATTATCATTCCATTTTTTATCTATAGTTACAGTTTCTCCCAGCCTCTGTTGGCGTAAATCAGTGACGCAGAGAGATAATTTTATTTTAATCCGTTTAAAAAACGCCACTTAAGATAACCGTCACCCTTTGCGCAGGGATAAAAGGTTAAGTCGAGCATTAACTGGCAGTTTGTCGCATTACTAGACCTTTGATTTATCTAAAGTTTTCAGTGTGAAAATTATTATTTTATAAAACTGGTTATTTAAATAGTATTATTATGTTTATTTCTGTTACCATTAGTAAGTGTGTGATTGCCAATGAATGGTCGAAGATGGACCAGCACTATTACTACCAGAAATTTCACAACCTTCTTATTGGCCATCAATATTCGACTGCCATTTTGTTCATGCATATTTTGCGACACGTGTTTAAACTCTAAACGAGGCATCTTCAGGCAAATTATTAAATCGCTGCTCAGAGCCTAGTGTTAACCGTTCAGCACCCAAACTGCTAATGACTAATTTTACTTTTCTTCAAATTGTCTTTGCTGTTGGCTGCAAATGGCCTTTACAGCTTCACCGGGCGCGTGTAGGGGTGAGTGTAGATGGCACTCCAAGCCCACGAAAGGGGAGCGACAAAGTGTCGGCTCTTACCGATAGACTGCGGTTACTGTTGGACTGCAGAACTAATTTCAGACCGTGTTACCACATTTATACCCATTTAACGAGATGAGTGGCATTATTATGAAATGAGTTATTGCGTCAATTCGATGTTAAGCATTGTCAACCAGTATAAAACTAATAATAACCTGTACCAACCAGTGAAAACAGTATTAACCAGTGATATGAACTTCCAAAAGATAACACTTAATATAACACCTAATTAAATAAAATATTTATTTATTGAAACTTAGAATAGTAAACACATTGATGGCTCACCTGATGTAAAGTCATCATTTCTGGACACGAACGGCACCACGGGTAGCAAGATGGCTTGAAATTGAAGGAAAAACTTTAGTTTCGTACATAGTTTTGCTTAGCTGACATAATTACATATACGTTGAGCTAATCGAGCTAAGATAAACGAAGTTATGTTCGCTTAGCTTAGCTCTCAGTAAGACTTGCGCTTACATAAGGGAAATTTTTAAAAACCAACAAACTTTTCCAATATCTCAGTTTAATATACACTGTTAATTTTGTTCAAGTTGCTTGCTATTCATGTTCTAAGCTATAAAAGTTTAGAATAGTTACTAACTACGAAACGTTAAAGAAAAAATCAAGCCTTCGTATCCTTTCAAAAACTATTCCTTTTGGATGATCGACTCGAATCGTAGATTGTCACAAGCAGTAGAGTGAATAAACGGTAAATAAATATTTTATAGCAATGAATAAGTCAATAAAAAAATGCTTGAAAGAATGAATTAAATAATATTTTTTTTTATAATACTTAGAATAGCAAATAAATTGACAACTATAATAATCTGAAATAGAAAGTGATAATTGTCGCCTACAGACATAAACAAAACCATGGATATCACAAAATACACCATAATAAATGGTTTTCTTGCCTGTAATATGCAGAACGATCATTATAGCCATTTTGCCTTATTTAATTACAACATTAGTATTTATATTTTATCTGCCAAAAAGGTTAATTAATTTCATTACGTTTTGGTTATTCGGAATTTGATATTTTTGGTTTTACAAGAATAGTATTTCTTTTTGTGTGTTTTCTTCATTTGTGCAAACTGTGGAATATACCTTATAGGGTATATTACTAACAATAGAGTTGTTAATAAGTATGGTTAATATTTATTTATTTATTTATTTACAGGATTACCAACATAAGATACAGCTACAATAAAGCTAAGTTTTAATACAATACACTGGCAGCTCAGATCTCACCGTTCTTACATTTATAGGCAACCACAGCATGCCTTGTGTTTGACAAACATTAAAATATAATTAAATTATTAAATGAGTAAAGATATTAACAATATGAATAATAATATAATATAAATAATGGAAATTGTATTCAAATTATTATAAAATATAAATAAATATAATGTAATGGGGAGGTATATCAACACTTTAATTTAGTCATGAATACAGAGTGACTATCGCAGTGAATATCAAGTTCAGGCTTGGTTTTTACAATATCGTTATACAGACGCGTTATGCGGACGATAGGTGATTCGCGACCCAAGTTTGTTCGGCAAGCTGCATTTTTAAATAGATTACAAGGATGCCGCGGCACTCTAGCAGGTACATTGTAATCTAGTTTCCCCAGTAGAGGCAGGCAATCAATGTGATTATTCACTAACTTATGAAGATAAGACATGTCAAGGTAAGATCTGCGCAGGCATAGTTCATCAAGGTGAAAATGTTTAATTTTGTTTTTGTAGGTTTTCATATTTCTTGATATTTTAAAACGATAAGCTAGGCTACGAACGAATTTCCTCTGTATTCTCTCTATTCTGTCCTCATGTATCTTGTACATAGGTGACCACACCATACTGCAATATTCCAACTTGCTTCTGACATAGCTATTGTACAGTTGAATGACAGTGGATGGTTTCTTGAAACACCTTGTATTCCTAAGGATAAAACCCAATGATTTATTTGATTCATTTACAATTTTATCAATATGTTCCGAAAATCTTAGTTGACTGTCCATCAAAACCCCAAGATCTCGCACAACACTAACCTCTTGAAGCTGCTTACCCTCGATAAAATAATGCGATTGCAACTTCTTGAGTTTCCGTGTAAACTTTATGTGGTAACATTTTGAAGTATTTAAATACATTTTGTTATTATTACACCATTTGATTAAATAATCGATGTCCTTCTGAAAACATTCCACATCTGATGGTTTTGTTATTATCTTCATCATTTTAAAGTCATCAGCGAATAGGTATCCATTACTATGCTTAATATTTTGCATAATATCATTAATGAAGACATTGAAGAATAGAGGTCCTAAAATAGAGCCCTGAGGCACACCTGAGGAAGCCACAATGGAGGATGATTGAACACCGTCAAATACTACTCTCGAGGAACGGTTTCTAAGGTAAGATTTACACCATTCCAGCAAATTATCTCCTATTCCAAATGTTTGCAATTTTTTCACTAAGATATAGTGGTTTACCTTGTCAAGGTATCGGTACAGTTCCCATATCTATATATTGAATTCTGGGCATTGATGGCGGAAGAAAGTTCATCACCCATTTCAATATAATATATAATACCAGTATAATATCCGTATTCATTTTAATTTTGTTTTTTTATACAACTTGGAATGGCAAACAAGCTGACGGCCCGCCTGATGAAAAGTGGTAACCGTCGCCTATAGACGTGAGCAGTACCATGGACATAACAGAGTATACTGTTTCGCCCATCATACCACCCATGCGATGCCATTCCTGAGTACATAGGTGTCATTCCTCTGTACCCTGTAAATTCACGCCATATGCCACCCTTCGAACCGAAACACGGCCATGCAAACACAACTGCTTTACGGTTGAAACACGAATGGGACAGAGGTACCCAAGCAATCGACTTTTGTACAAAGTCTCAATTATATATTGGATAATTGATATTTAATATATCCATTATTACACCAATATATAGATATTAATTTACAGTATATAGGTATTGCTACATATAACTCTCTCCTAGTTGTTAGTCCTCATTACTAATAAGCCTTTTCTTCCAATTCATATACCTAATGAGGGATCAACAAAGAAACTACACTTAAACAACCACTAATGTTTCAAGACCTTACAAACATCCTCCACGTAAACATAGTTCAACATTCCAATAAAATATCTTCAAATTAATACTTCTCCAAAGTAGGATTACTGTGATGTACTCATTAAAGTTTAGACTGCAAGTCCCCCCGCTCCTGCCACTCCTCTGGGTGACGTCCGGGCGGGTGGTCGTGTGAGTCGCATTGTGACATATTATTGTTTATTATTTCCTACACCTACCTACCATACCAGGAGGACAGCACAAAATTGGCGACGAGGTGAAAATTTGTAAGTAAAAAATATATATATATATATATCATACGACTACAAAATTACCTGTTCTAATCAGTCCAAAGAGTGTGTAACTATCGTGTTGTTATTTTAATGTAACTCGACACGAATAACATTAAACTGTTAAATTTCTAAATTCACAAGAAAGAGAGAAGATAATTTATTAATTCTTAATCAATTTATTAAATATAGAAAAGACTAAAAGCAATTTCAAAAAGAAATAAAGACTTGATTCTATAAATTGTATAGAGAAAGCAAAATATTGATAAAACATATTACGGTGCATAGTACGTTTTGTAATTTAGCGACACACTGTGACTGATTTTAACGGGTTTGCGCATCATAGTCGTACGATAACTTGCTATACATGCCTAAACAAATGGTCGGCGTTTGTTGATGTCTAGGTATACCGTACCGCAAGCTTTCTGTTTATATTTACATCACAGTATAAGTGATTATAACAGTTGAATTCTTAAGATAAGTGGTTCGAGGATACCAGCGAATACTGACTATACATACAACAAAATGTGCCTGCATGTATTAGCCGAGTCGGAGTAATTATTCTGACAAATAAAATACACCGTACAATCCGAATGAGCAAAGCCCATCAAATACATAATTCCACATAAACTGTAATCTATTTAGATACAAGTTTATGCAATTGGTGGTTCCGATTATAGAGGTTGCTTCCATAATAAATAGATTTGTATGTAGGTATAAACCTAATACAAATGTAATTATCATAAGATAATTATGATATATTCAAACACTTCACATTAACTTCATTATTTGACAGATATTTGGTAAGAGTTGAGGTTACGATTTTATTTTTCTTACAAGGGACCAGCAGAATATTAGCGTTGCCGGTAGTTCTCTGCTTAATTCTGAGTCGGTTACCCTTTCGCCGTTGGGGCACATAAATTTACTTACGTATTTATGTTGGTTTATAAGTTTAAAAGGCTGTGTTTGTAACTGAGAATAATCCATTTATCCACCTGTACAACAAGTACAAGTATTCGCATTTACAATATTGTTGCCTACAATTATAATAGCATACATTATTACGGTAGGTAGGTATAATCATTTAATAAAAAATAAAATAAAAATAGCCTTTATTCCTGAATTACAGATTCTTTTTTTAAATTGTAAATATGTGTAAATAATTAATGTTGACATCAGCAACATCTTATTTTTCAGGTTGTTTTAGAACAACCATTTTAGTATAATCATTTATAAACACAAAATTCTCGAAAAAAATATAATAATAATAACTTATAATATTTTATTTAGATTCAATCCTTGACGGGGTAGTCAGACGCATTTGTTGACTACGGAATACGGTTAATATATTTATTAATAATAGTAACATAATTGGTTATTTGTCAATTATCATTAGTTGACAGTATTTATATAAATACGTATAAATAATGTACCACCCATAAAATTCCCGTTTTGCAAATTGTCTTATTATGACATCTCAATTGTCAAATCGTAGAAAAATGCAGTTCCTCAGAACTTAAGTTAAAAGATAATTCTACTAAAATATAAATAAATATTGTGGAAGCAATTCAATAGAGACTGATGAAAGATCAGTAAAAGGACACCAAAGAAACCAAATCTTGTAAAGAGATTTCAAACGGAAAAAATATACGGTGTATGAAATGCGAGAGTACATATCAAAATAGTTATGATGCACAATGTGTTGCAAGAAATAACTTCTGCTAAAAGTGTGGATTTATAAGCCATTTAGGTCAAAAGCAATATCGCACTAATCGAAATAAGTGCATGAATGTGCTAGCGCTAGTTATATGGCGAAATAAATAGTATAAACCAAATAATCCATCAAGTAAAAAATAAATAAAGTTACCAAACAATCATTCAACTCTCCTATAACTACATTCATACTGAATGTTGAACATACTCTATTCTACTATAAAATATCTTGCCAAAATGGTGGAACCAAATATTAACTATATTCCACTATAAAATATCTTGCCAAAATAGTGGAGCCAAATATTAACTATACTCTATTCCACTATAAAATATCTTGCCAAAATGGTGGAACCAAATATTAACTATACTCTATTCCACTATAAAATATCTTGCCAAAATAGTGGAACTAAATGTTAACCATACTCTATTCCACTATAAAATATATATCTTGCCAAAGTGATGGAGTTACATTAAACATACCCATTGATTTGGGTACAAAACTAGTATACCCATAAATTCGGGTACAAAACTGACATACCCATCAATTCGGGTACAAAACTAACATACCCATCAATTCGGGTACAAAACTAACATACCCATCAATTCGGGTACAAAAGTAACATACCCATCAATTCGGGTACAAAACTAACATACCCATCAATTCGGGTACAAAACTAACATACCCATCAATTCGGGTACAGAACTAACATACCCATCAATTCGGGTACAAAAGTAACATACCCATCAATTCGGGTACAAAACTAACATACCCATCAATTCGGGTACAAAACTAACATACCCATCAATTCGGGTACAAAACTAACATACTAATGACATAATATTATATACCCATCAATTCGGGTACAAAACTAACATAATAATGACATAATATTATATACCCATAAATTCGGGTACAAAAGTAACAATAATAATAATAGTCGACAAAACTAACCAAGAAAAATCTGACAAAATTCTAGGACATATAGTCCTAAAGACTCGCTGATGTACTGGGCCCATTTAAAATGTCAGTCTTGGTTGGATCTGGAAGAAGTAGAGAAAAATTGTACTCGCAGCTTATTGTGTACCTAAGAGACTGCTATGATTCTTTATATATTACAATTAAGTTGTATATTAATTTACTAAACACAAATCCAAAATTCAAATTCAATATCTAAATGAACATCAGTTAGATATTGATCATAAAATCAAATATTTAATAAAATAAAATAGTATAGCTCAAATAAACAAAAATATAATCGAACTTGTAGACAAAGCTGCGAATTGGGTTTCTCTAGTCGCACTTATTTTAAAGAATAGAATAAAGGAATATGAATCTGTCTGTCAAGGGAAAAGTCCTAAACAAAAAATGTGCATGCTAATCTTGGAAAAAATATGTACAATTACTACATAATTAAAATACCTAGTATGTATTTACTGCACACACATGTTTATGCAAATAAATTTATCTTTTACTAAACCTGATTTAAAAGATGCTTTTACATCAAATTGAGATTAGAATGTACTTAACTTTTTATAACAAGCAAGTGGTTATTTCGTTTCGATTACGATCTTACTACAATAAATAATTAAAACTGTGTTTATTTAATCAGTATTTAACAAATCTCTGTTTAAAGTGACTAAATATTATATTATTTAGTCTGTGTAACAATGGTTACTTGTAATTTAACGTGTCAAAATCTATAAATTATATAAATATAATTTATTACTTTAAGTATCTTTATTTTTAATAACAGAGACTTACTTTAGTTTAAATATAAACAAATATTGGTCACGGTTTTGTAGCAAGACATGAAAACCACCAACTAATAGGTTTATTATAATATATACATGAATGTATTTAAATGTAACAATTGGAAATAATCCCAAATAGAGGAAATGAATAAGACACCTAAACATGTATTGAATATCTTACACAAGATTAACTGTTTGTTTGTGTTAATATTTTAATTTCGAACAAATGATGTAAGGCTAAAATATGTCCTACATCTATTTAAATTCGCGATTCACAACGCGAAAGTTTAAAAGTGTGTTCAACGTATTTTAACTTTGTAAGGCAAAATAATATACCTACATATCTGTACACGTAGGTTACAAATAATGTATTAATAAAGGATTTATGTTCATGTTTAATCAATCGTGAATAGAATTTTTAGGGCTTGAGCTAATCTCAGAAGGTATTACTTGTAAGTCCCTAAAGACTATAGAATCACTTAGAAAAACAATTTTTTTGAAAAATTTTAAAGTTATAAAACTAGTAACCTATTTTGAGAAATAAATATGATAATGTGTTATAATAATATTTAGATTTTATGTGTAAATATTTTACATATATGTATATAACTCTGTATTATCAATATCTTAAATTACAAGTTGTATACAGTCACACTTATCTATCTTTATCAATTTATTGGTATACAATAAAAGAAAATGGACTCAAAATTTCGCTACAATGACTGAACAAATACGTAAAATGTTAAGGCGTAAGCTCGCTAAATATACTGTGTGCAGAGTTCTGGAAAGAAAAGTAAACATTTACAGTAATTCGTAATTTGAAAGGAAAAAGAGTTAGTAAATTATGGACACTTAAGTTTTATAAGCCATGCAATTAGTAGTTAGATGCTCCCAGGAAAACTGAACCTTAAAGTCAATCATTACAAACTCTTTAAATACGAATTCTGAGTACTTTATTAATGGTTTTCTATTTTTATTTCATTTGAGATAGCGTAAACGAGCATTCGCTACGACTCATGATAATTATTTTGGCACCCCGGCACTGTTGCCATAAACAGTAGATTATGTATCAAGGTACAAAGGATTGATACCAGTCTCGGTACATATAATAGATGTTGTAATCAATGTTCATGAAGAAATAAAATTTTGTCTACATTACATCTGATCTAAAACAATATATTATGTAACATTCCTAAAATTAATCGATGTCTAAACTATAATAAATGTGACGTACTTATGTAAATATTGAGATTATAAATAGTAACGTCTCTAATATTGTCAGTATATGTATTGTAGAAATTATTAATTGGAATTCTGATATACTTAGTATAAGATAGACCATAAATCTTCTTAAAAGTACATAAATAAAAGAAATTTTACAAGACTTGACACTTTATTCAGCACAACATTGGATAACTGCTTAGAATTTGGTATTAAACTATACTATTCGACACCATATTGACCGCAGTAGAACGAAGCAAGTAGAATACAAAAATGTGACATACGTGTACAAATAAATTAAAACCCAAAAT